CATGACCCCATGTCATGTCTTCTTACTTGGGCTACGGCCATAATGCATGACCCCGTGTCATGTCTTTTCACCTCGGCTACAGCCATAACGCATGACCCTGCATCATGCCTTTTCACTTAGACTACAGCTACGACTATAAAGCATGACCCCGCATCATGCTTGTCCACCTTGGCTATTGCCATAACGCATGACCCCGTGTCATACCTTTCACCCCGACTACGACCATAACACACGACCTCGTGTCATGCCTTTTCACCTCAGCAACGGCCATAACACGTACCCACGTATCATGTCTTTCAACTTTGGCCTTAGCCATGACCATCTCATACATTCCCCAACTCGACTACGTCCAAGATGACCTCCACCCATTTTCCTTGTGAATGATGAAAGAGGGGGGAGGGGGAATATTGTAAGGGTATAGATACACAAGGCAAAGCTTAGTGCTCTGCCGCACCTCTGTTCTCTGCCACAAGTGCATGGCAGTTACAATAAGAACACTTTTACATAATCATTTGTCCTTACCTTATCTTCCTTCCCCAAGGGACTTGCTTTGTTAGAACACGCCACGTGCATTTAATGTGGTTACTCCGTTAAGGCTTGTTATGTTCACCTAAGACGTTTGCTCCGTCAAGCACATCATATCATGATTATCATGTTAAGTATGCCACATGGGTACCTTACCAAGATATACAAGACCCATGAGGAAAGGTACGTTATATAGACAAAATAATGATAAAAGAGGACTCTCTAGATCAATACTAACTTAAGCATCGGAGTTTATTCCCGAGGACCAACCTCAGATTTTGTAGGTCTGTCTAGAGAGAAGATACACAGAAGGAAGATCTTAAAGGTTTTATGCAACAATAAATAACTTCATTAAATGTGAGATCTCTATTGACGACCACTTAAAGGGATTAAGTGTGAAAATATAAAAAGAAGGGAGTCGTCACTCATCCAAATTATAAGTTGGGACAAGTCACCTAAAAATAGGTCTGCATAGAGATCGGGGTTCAGAGGTTGGGTTAAGAGTGAGGAAGGAAATACGCGTACCTCACAATCCTCCATTTAAACACGGTTGCATACTTTAACATTGGGGGTTTTAATTCAACTTATTTACTATATTTGTATTTAAGTCTTAATAAGCAAGCTTAAAAAAAAAAGATAAACCAAATTGAAACATTTTTTAGGTTTTTGGACTAAAATGGACAAATTCGAGAACATGCATGCGAAGTGAGCATAAATAAAAAGTTAAAGGACTAATTTGATTAAATTCAAGGCATGGAGGACTGATTTGATTAAATTCAAAATATAAAGGACTGATTTAAAAAGAGTTAAAATATGTGGACTAAATTGCTTAATTATAAAAGTTTTGGGTAAAATTAAAATGAGAAAAGATAATTTTGACTTTTACTAAAATTAACAGAAATTAAGGATTTAAATTAATTAATACGATAATTAACTTAATTAAATAATTAATTTAATATTAATTAATATTAATTAAAATTAATTAATCACATTGATCAAGATAAATGATATAATTATCTTAAATTAAGATTCATAAATATAATTAAATTATTTAATTAAAATTAATTAATATTACTAATCATAGATTAAGTCAATTATCTTAATTAATTAATTTGTTTTATTTATATTATGTATATTTTACTAGATCGGGTTTGATTGACCCGAAACGAAAAAAACACAACCCGAATATAAAATAACCAAAAAAACAGATCAAACATGCAAACAATGAATGTAGCAAATACATCATAAATACATCTCATTTCCAGCAAAAAGATGAACAGACTCATCAGCCAAATAAACAGGCAAATCTATGATCTTTCATTCATTTCTCAAGAAAACCTATACAATCTTAACCTATACAATCTTAAACTGAAGGCTAAATGAAAAATACAAAAAGAGAAATCAGCAAACAAAGCAACACCCACGGCAGAATTCTTTTAGGAAATGCAGATCCAGATCTGATGGGAGAGATCCCACCCACGAGACCAGGCTCCCATCGTCCCCTTCACCACCGTTCCCAGAAAAAAACTCCTCTGTTCAGAAAAATTACCTACAAAGTAGACCCAAATCTTCTCCCAAATCACCGACACCTTCTAGCAAAATTCCTCTCCTTTTCTGCCGCCGTTCTCAATACCCAACTCAAAACCAAAAAGACCTCTCCAAAAACCCTCATCTAAAGTTCTATTTATACTGCTCAAAAGCAAAGAAAACCCTAAAAGAACATTCCAGAAAGTAACTCTCCGAGCCTTTTGGATCCACGGTTTTTGGACTTTTCAAATCTGTTTCTTGCTTTTACCAGAATCTGCAACATGGAAATTGGGCCTCTCCAATCCTCACCCTTTTACAAAAATCTGCAACAATGCATTTGGGCCTTCAATCTGCGTCCAATTCATCCTGTCGTCACCCACTCGTGATCCGTAGCTGGCATAGATTTGTCTGCAGATCTGTTTCAGTTGGATGACGATTGATATTTCCCGAATCACTGCATCCTCGCGTGAAGAGCACCGCTGTCGCGAACCAATAGATCCGGCTTCAATTGCTCCTGTTCTGCTTTTCATTCGTCGCCGCAATGATGCTGGACTGTAGAAATAGCTCGGAAGGTGCGTTTGACATGGAAGGGAGTTGGAGATGATGAGATCAGAAGGTATGGAATTGGGGAAGGAGAAGAACGAAGGTGATCGCCGGCGGCCTTTTTAGATGGCTGTCGGTCGCTCTGTGATGGGAAAAGGAGGGCGAGCTCGAGGATCTGCATGAAGAAAGAAAGAGGAAACTGAAGGAAGAGAGAAGCCGAAGGTCGCTTCGGAGGGGAAGAGAGAAATCCGACGACTTTGGGTATAGGAAGAGCTCAATCGTCAGTGACTTTGAGGGATGGCTACCAGCCGGTTTGGGGAGGAGGTGGTTGCCGGCTGTGGTGAGGGAGGGAGGTGGTTCCCGGCTGTGGTGATGATGAAATCGGTAAGATGATGGTGGTGATGGTGATCGGAGAAAGAGGATGATTTGGGAGATGAGAGAGAAAAAAGCCGAGGGTGCGGGGGTCTGTGTGGGTGAAGGAAGAAGGTTTGACTTTTATTTTTATTTATTTATTTATTTTTGGGTTTGGGTAGTTTTTTTTTTTTTTGGTTTTGGGTTGTTGGTGGGTTTTTGGGTTTAAGGCTTAACTTCAATGCGTTTCACTCCTTCAATTGGGTCCCTCGTCTTAATTTCTTTCATCTCATTTTTCAATCTTCTCAGAAAAAACTCCCTTTTGCTCATAAACCTAATGATGAGCTAAATTTATATACATATTAATAGGGAATTTTTACTTTGATATTATTGATATTTGGATGAGTTTTATGAGATTTTGTTTGATTTTACATGGTTTTCATTCTTTGTGAATGAAAGGATTTAATTGGAAGAAATTTTACTTTTTAGAAGTAAATTGAAGAGATCAAAGACTTGAGGATCAACTTGTGCAGAATCAAGAAGTCAGGAACCAAATCTGCTATTTTACCATTGAAGAAATTGCAAAAGAAAGCCAAAAACCCGACACTGGTGTAGTGTCGACACATGATCGGGGTGTCGACACCATGCGCTAAACGTCCAAAATCAGATTCTGTTTCTTATTTTGTGTTAACACGTAATCCGAAGTTTCAGCACCACGCGATCAGCATCTAAAATTCAGTTTCCTATTTCTATTCCAAGTCCTACTTCTATTTCAATTAGGGTTTCTAAAATCCTATAAATATCCATTCAAATTCAGAATGAAGGGAGTTTTGGGGAGGCTGGTGGCAGCCCTCTTTTGGGCATTCTTCAAGGTCAAGATAGAGGATTCAACAATAGGAGATCAAGGATTGCAATTTTCTCAAATTAGGTTTCATTCTTCCTTGTTTATAACTATAATTGTAGATTTTATTCTTTTTATTATGAACTGATTTATTTTATTAAGGCTATGATGTAACCTAATCAATTCAATATAGATTTTGTGATTTTATATTTTCAATTAAAATTATTCGCATGAAGAGTTTATATTATTGAACTTAATGCATTGGAAGCCTGATCATCTTTCAATTGATTTAGTGATTTATGCATGAACTTGAGAAAGAATTGCGTAGATTAGACCAATAATAATATAAACCGTGT